TTTCCATTTCGGAGGTTTCTCCCTCGTCTGTGAGGGAAGATCGGAGGAGAGTTATCCTCCTAGACTCTTCCTCTCTCACATTGGTATCTCATACCAATCCCCTCAGTGGGTGCTAACAACTTCTCCGTCTTTCTCATACATTCACCTCCGGCTATCACCTATGCTACCACTTGACCAATGTGGGTGTGGCTAGACTGGCCTTCTTAAAATTATTATCCAGAATTTTGTTTACAAAATCCTTTTTTTTCTTTCTTTTTTCCCTTGGCCAAAACATTTTTTTTTCCCAAACCCCGGATTGCCAAATAATTCTTATCACATCTTTCTTTTTGGGACACCCCAAATTCACTTAGTGAGGTCTCTCTACCGACTTATCAATCACTGTCAAAAACCGACATCTGGCTTCTCTGCTAAGTCAACTTTTAACTGGGGGGTCCGAGTTTTACCTGAGAATCAAATTCTTTATTTTTCTCATGCCTTAAAATCCTCTTATCACCAGATACCTATTTTCGACGACGCTGTTTCTGACGTCAACAGTTTGAAAAAGTAATAATAATAATTTCCTCTACGATTTTCTTCCTCATGCCAGAATTCTAACACATACCAGATGATTTCCCTTCATTGAACCCAGGAATCAAAATTAAATGATATCTCTAAAGGATAACTAATATCGATTCTCTCTGCCTGTATCGCGGTCGTCCGAAATTTTTGTATGACCGCCATGTGTCGGCCGGCTTTGTTTTTCTTTCTGAATTCTGTTTCCCTTGGCACGTCATTCTCTTACCATAACATTAATCAGTTTTGACAGAATCTCATATCTCGTTTTTTCTTACGGATTTTCTGTCTCGTGCGAAAAGTATCTTTCTTCGTAAGTAAAATAAAATCTTCTTTTTAACATTGCTCAGTCTATCTTTCGATATAGCTCTTTCTCGCCTTAAGTCTTTCCTGTTTTTAATTTCTATGGTTAATCAGTTAGCCAATTATCATAGCTAAATAGTGTCACAATAACAAATAGTTTCTTTTCAATCTATGTATAGTTTATTTCACTTTCAATGAAGGACTTGAATACATATACAGTAGGTTTGCCTTCTTGTAGGAATGCAGCACCCAGACCATCCTTGGAAGTATCAATTTGAAGAGTTATGGGTTTGGAGGGGTCAAAGTATATAAGGACTAGGGCAGTGTTAGTGTGTTCTTGACGTTTTAAAAATCTCCAACTTGGGGTTTTTCCCATGTAAACAGTGCCTAGCAGTTGGCTCATTAGGCTCATGACATTGGATAAGTTTTGAGAAAATTTGGACAGGTAGGTGACCATATCAAGTATTGTTTCCAGTTTGGTCTTGTTGCTATATTCCATATTTCTTTAATTTTGTCAGGGCCTGGTTTTATTTCATCAGGGGTTAGTATGTTTCTAAGTATTTCACTCTCAAGATTGCAACTTGTAACTGTTAATTTTTATCCCATTTTGCCCTGCATATCCCAAAACCCTAATGAGGCTCTAATTGTGTTTTGTGTACATCTTGCCATACACTAATAGGTCATCTTCCAAGGCAACAACACCTGGAATGCATTCAAAGTATTCATCTACTTTTCTTTAAAAGTAATTCTGGGATGATTTCAGCCCAAATGGTATGCAAATGTACATATATCTCCCAAATAGAGTGTTGAAGGTTGTCAGGTATGGGTATTTATTGGTTAGTGGTATGGTCCAATATGCACATGCGATATCCGGTTTTTTAAATACCTTAGTTCCATTTAATTCAGGGGGTGTTCTCCAAGGTTCTCATATGATTATGTAATATTTGGGTTGCTCTGTTGAGATCAAGATAAGTCTTCATTTACCTCTTTACCTTTTTTATTAGATGAAGGCAATTTACTCACTGTATGGGTGTTGTGGCTTCTTTGTGATGCAGTCTTCTTTCATCCTTGCTAATTCCTTTGAAAGTTTATTGTGTAAGGCTAGTGGCACCTTCCAAGAGGGTGTATCACAGGGGTGTATTAGGGTCAAGTGAAAAAATCATAAAATATGGAAAAAGAAAAACTGAAAAACAGAAAATCGCAAAGTAGGAAAAATAAGAAAAAAATGCAGAAAGGTATTAATAGAGCGAAAAAAGAAGAATAATAGTCTGAAAAAGGATAAAATGCAGAAAAGCAGGCAAAAAGAAAAAGACAGAAAAAAAAGGAAAAATGTAGGAAAGTAGAAAAGATGAAAAAAGCATAAAAAGAAAGAAGAATAAAAATGCTAAAAAAAGCATAAAAAGAAAAAAAGGAAAATATTAGGAAAACCCCCATGTAATATCCCAGCAACAGAAGGGAGATAACCCATAGAGACACAAGAGTTAGGTCCCCTCCAGACATCCGGTGAATATCAATCAGCAGCTAGACAGCAAGAGGGTACCATCACCAGAGGGACAATCCAGAACCATCCTAAAATCCTAACAATGCATTAATCGATGTCTAGCAAGCATCGATAGCCTCTTGCACAGAACATTACATTGGCGACGAGGACTGAGTCGTTACCCTCACAAAAAACAGAACATCAACACACTTAAAAAAAAAAAAAAAAAAAAAAAAAAAATTCAACACGTGTTCGATATACAACCAACATGGCCGCCGTCCCACACTACCCCGAATTTGACTGTGAGTCAACAGCCAAAGCAGCAAGATGGACAAAATACATAAAAAAAGACTAAAAACTATTTTGTCGCACATAACATTGAAGATGACAAACGGCAAAAGCAACCTTCTAACCTTTGTCGGCGAGGCTATGAACGACATCATCGACGAGATACCACAGGAGCGAGTCACACCAGAAAAAAATGAAACACATTTCAACAAGCTTGTCTCAGCGGTGCACAACCACTTCAACCGGGAAAACGACACGGAATACAACCGATTTGTGTTCCGGAAAATTAAACAAAATAGCCCTGGCATCGAAGAATTCTACCGCAAACTAAAGGAAGCTGCGTCCACGTGCCGTTTTTCCGACATGGATTCCGAGGTGAAGTCCCAACTAATCACAGGCTGCCTGTCGGATAAAGTCCGCCAGAAGGGACTCATGAACTCGGATATGTCACTACATGACTTAATAAACTACGCAAGGACAACGGAGACGATAGCGTCGCACCTACAAACAATGCGACTGGAAGAAAACAACATCGCTACTGCTACAACCGCTCCAATAAACAAAGTCGCGGACGAACAGCGCCGACCAAGCAACTATCCCCGGCAATACCAGTGTAGGAATTGCAACGGAAAATACCCTCATGAGCGGGGACCGACGTCTTGCCCGGCATTTCATACCCAGTGCACATACTGCGGAAGGTGGGGACACTTCACCTCTGCCTGTTTCAGAAGATTAAACGACGGAAACAGACAACGGGAAACAAATCGTCCCCCACGAACACAGACCAATCGACGCTCAGTGAACCGCATTGAAAACGACCAACGGAACCCACGTAGCAGTGGTAGTGACATAGAATACGTGTTCCACACAGCTGGAGCTCGAACTTGCCACCTCAATTGAAATGGATACTCCAGCAAACAGGAGTTCATCTTTATTTTTGGGGCTTCCCAACCAAATAAAAGGGCAACTTGATGAACAATCACAAACTCTCCACAAAATCAATTCCACAGTCCAGAAACTTGAAGCTGAAAACGCTCTTTATAAACAAGAATTGATGACCGCCCACACCAATATTCACCAGTTATCATCTCTTTTGAATAACGAACGACGAAAATCCCATTTGTCTTTGGAGAGACACTTCATCCAAATGCAAGAAATGCTGTGCACAGAAACGAAGAGAATGTCACAGGAAATAAATGAATTGAAGCTTAACTGTTGTCAACAGAATTTTCCTGCCACTCCTTCATCAACTGCTTCTAGCAGTTTCCAACAAAACAAGAGATTGTCACAAAATGCAACATATTTGCGTCCTCAAAATGATGTTTATGAAGACGCTCTCAAGTTTTATCAAAAGTTAAACGTCCAACAACAGTTGCTTCAACAGATTTTCAAAATCCATTGTACTCCTCTTCAAATGTCCAACAGATGTCAACAAAATGTAAGTCGGCACCTTGTCCACAACCGTCTGTGCCAGAGCCACAAGTCATGTCTCCCTCAACTCCATCCAGAAAATGCTACACCCTAAACAGTCACGCAAGAAAATTCATGACAAAACCTCTAGAACTGATGCCAGCCGTTCGAAAATGTCCAACACTTCATCTGACCAAGACCTTGATTCTTCCCCAAACCAGAACATAACTATTTCTTCCACTCAGAATCTCACATTGCAGGGTGATGAAGAAGATCTTCATTCTGATGATTCCAATTTTGATTTGCTTGATTCTCGCAGCTTTGGAAAGTCCGAAGATGGCTTGGAAAGTAGCTCATCCGAAGATTTGGGTTTAGAATGGCTGTGGCCGGACCCAAAAAAAAACCCTCTCAAAAAAAAAAGAAAAAAAAAAAAAGAAAAAAGAAAGCATTGTAATATCCCAGCAACAGAAGGGAGATAACCCATAGAGACACAAGAGTTAGGTCCCCTCCAGACATCCGGTGAATATCAATCAGCAGCTAGACAGCAAGAGGGTACCATCACCAGAGGGACAATCCAGAACCATCCTAAAATCCTAACAAGGCATTAATCGACGTCTAGCAAGCATCGATAGCCTCTTGCACAGAACATTACACCCCAGAAAAACATAAAAAAACAAGCAGAAAAAGAAAAAATTGAAAAAGAAAAAAAGTAGAAAAGCTTAAAACAACTGAGAAAAGCTGCAAAATGTGAAAAAATCAGTAAAAAAAGACCCCCACAGAAAAAGAGGAAAAGCTGAAAAAAGCAGAAAAAATGAAGAAAGGCTGGAAAAAATCAGAAAAGTAGAAAAAAACAGACAAAAATGCAAAAATCAGGAAAACAAAAACAAAAATAAAGAAGAATGACTTGGTAAAAAAGGAGAAAAAATAGAAAATATCAGAAAAGACAAAATTGAAAAATATAAGGAAATCAAAAAACTGAAAATAGTAGAAATGGAGGAAAGAAAAAGTGTAAAAGCAGAAAAGAATAAAAAAGAAAAAATAGAAAATAACAGAAAAGGTAAAATCGAAAAATATCAGGAATAGAAAACAAGCAAAAAAGGGGGGAAAAAAAGACGAAAAAAAAAAACAAAAACATAAAAAACGAAAAAAAAAATAAAAAAGCAAGAAAGAAAAAACAGAAACAGTAAAACTGAAAAAATGCCGAAGAGGAGAAAATGGAAAAAAAAACCCCATAAATATGAAAGATAGTAGAAAAGAAATCGTGGATAGATAAAAATTTTGAAAAAGAAATAAAGGCTGAAAAAGAAAAAAAAACAAAACAAATAAAAACAGAAATTATGAAAAAACGCACAAAACCTGGTAAAAGAATAAAAATGGGAAATATTCAGAAAAGTAGTAAAAAAACAAATAAAAATAAATGAATATCTGAGAAAAAATTAAAACAAAGAAGCTGAAACAGGAAAAAATGGAAAAATATCAGAAAAGCAAGAAAAAAAAAGAAGAAAGAGTAAGAATAAGCTTAGAATGGGAAAAGAGCAGAAAAACAGCCAAATTAAAAAAAAAACATCAGGGAAAAAACAAAAAATAAACCCAACAAAGAGTGAACAATGCAAAAAGAAGGTCAAAATGGAAAAGTAAAAAAAAAAAAAAGAAGAAAATTAGCAGGAAATGAGAAAATTAAAAAATTGTAAAGCAGAGAAAATGGAAAATAGAATGGAAAATGAAAAGAATGGAAAATATAACAGAAAAGGCAAAAAGGAAAAAGATCAGGAAATTAAAAGAGCAGAAACTATAAAAAAAAATGAAGATATAGGAAAAAAAGCAGAAAATGGAAAAGAACGTGAAAAAGGAAAAATGCTGAAAAGTTATAAATAACACAAAAGTGATATATGTCGAAAAGAGTAAAATGTGGAAAAAGTAGCAAGAAGAAAAGAAAAAAAGGAGGAATAAAACATAAATAATAAAAAAATAAGAGAATAAGGAAAAAAAAGAAAAATTGAGAAAAATGAAAAAAACAGAAAATGAAAAATGAGAGAGAGAGAGAGAGAGAGAGAGAGAGAGAGAGAGAGAGAGAGAGAGAGACCTCATCCCCACCCCGAGGTGGATTTAGTAATCAACAGTGCTAAAGAATTAGGATGAAGGTGCTAATTACTTGGGTAGAAGGAATTCCGGAGTAATTCCAGAAATAAGTTTTTTTTTTCTCTTAATAATTGTTTCTGGGGTTGAGTTATTAGTTAATTACATGTAATAATTCCAAAGTGATTAAGAGACAGATTCGTTAAAGTAGAGTTTGTGATAAATGGCAAATTGGATTTTTGGGTGGTCTGAATAGCGGAATTCAACCAGACAGGATAAGTGGTTTTGGCAAAATTTAAGTATACGTTGTCTGCGGAAGATCCAGCAGGAGGTCCGAATCCGATTTTAGTACCTCTTGAAAACTGGTTGCCCGCGGAGAACCGGAGATTAGGCGGAAACACATGGTGGTCTAGGCGATTTGCATATTAAAATTCGAGGGCGGTGCCTAAAGATGGTTTAGCTCCGCCTCTCTCTATATAAGCTGTTCGCACGCTTGAGTTAGTCAGATGAGTTCGGAGTTCGGAGATCAGAACGCGGAGGAGGCGGCTTGTTGGAATTTGCTGGTCTGGTCTGTTGGTTGCCCTGTGTCAAGAAGACAGATCCGAACCAAGAGATCGAAATAGAACCCGTACGAATCCAAATAACTTCGTCAACAAGGCTGCGAGAAAGCAGGCTGCTATATCGTAGGGTGCAGACGAAGATCCACGAATTACTTACCTTAGATCAACCGAAATTGTTTAGGAAGAAATTTTCCTACTCTCTCTCTGTGACTTTCCGACCCAAACGAGTGAATCTCGTTACGACATTTTGTACTCGTGTAAATTCTTCGGTAGAGACATAAAAAAAAACAGTGGCCTAAATAGGGCTCTTTGTACAGGAACAGGAATTGCTTTTTTTTTTCTTTTTCATGTGTTTGCGGCTACGACAAGAAACTTTTGCTGCATGAATAGTGATTTCCTTTTAGCGAAATATCCAGCCATTTCCTCCCCTTCCCACCGGATCGTTCTGGGGAGATCGATACACTGCTGTTCGGATCAAGAATTCACAACGTGGCGAATAGTGGTGGTTCCTTCAGTTGACTGGAGGAAGATCGGGTGGATTTCTTTTTCGGCCAGAACTACCGGGGAGACAGGACAGAACTGCAACAGGCAGGGTTATTACGTTAGAAAAAGCAATAATAGGAAAAATAGAGAAAACGTAAAAAATGCAGAAAGGCAACAAAACGGAAAAATAGAAGAAAAAGAAGAAAAACATGAAAAGTTTAAAAAAAAAAAAAAAAAAGAAGCATCAAATAGAAAAAGCGAAAGAAGAAGAAGAGAAAACTAGAAAATGGGAAAAAGCAAAAAAAGGATGAAAACCAGAATAAGAATAAGTAGAAAAAAGAAAAAAAAGAAAGAAAAAGAAATCAGATAAACAGGAAAAGCAGAAAAAATGATGTCAATAAAAGGGGAAAAATAGAATAGCAGGAAAACTGAAAAAAAAAACAGAAAATGGTAAAAGGCATAAAAAAAAAATGAAAAGTGCATGAATGTTGAAAAAAGCAGGATCAAAGAAAGGAACAGAAATAAGTAGGGAAAATGAAAATAAAAGCAAAATAAAGCCGGAAAAGTTTCAGACAGTTAAATCTGTACCTGGTGAAAGAATTTACTATAAACATAAAAAGAACAAGGGCTGGAGAGAGGGCATGCTAAGGTCTTTGGAAAAGAAAACTATTTTGTATTGATCGACCATGGTAGTGAATACTACAGATGTCATCCTTGTCAATTGAAAAAAAACCCTCTCCTTTGCCGTCTGTGTCATAGGCATGCTGGGAATGCCATACTTGGTGAGTTATTGACATGCCTCAAGGCTGGTTTTCCTATGGCGTGCATTGACAGAATATTCGCTCTGGGAGAGGAGTGTTAGGGATGCCTTCCCTAGCCTTACCGTCACTCCTCCCACTTCTGGGGTTGAGTGCCGTTATAAACCCGGGAAATAATCCAATTCACCGAAAGCAAGAAAAGTGAAAAAAGACAAAAATGGAAAATAAAAGCAGAAAAAGGAAAAAAGCATAAAAAGGAAAAAAAAAAAAAAATTGAAGAAAAACGAAAAATGAGATAAAGCAAATAAGCAGAAAAACATGATAATGAAAAAGGAAAAAATGGAGAAGAGCAGAGAAAAAAGTAGAGAAAAGAAAAAATAGCATAAAAAGGAAAAGTAACAGAAAAAGGAAAAAAAAAGAAAAAAGCAGAAAAAGGGAAAATAAAAGATGCAAAAAAAAAAAAAAAATGAAAAATAGCAGCAAAAGTAATAGAAGCAGGAAAATGAAGAAACAGAAAAAAAGAAGCAAAACCACAGAGATGGAAATCAAGTAGATAAGCATGAAAGAAGCAGGAAGAAAGTGAAACAGAGAAAAACTGGGAAAAAGAGAATAGAAAGGAATAAAATAAAAAATGCAGAAAAGCAGAATATAAGGAAAAAAATAAAAATAAGAAAAAGAGAAAAAAATCAGAATCGCATGGAAAAAAGGACAAACACTAGAAATGGATTACAACAGAAAAAACTGTAAAAAAGCAAAAATAAAGGAAATAAGAAGAAAAAAGCAAAAAGTAGGGAAATGGAAAAAAGGCAGAAAAGCAGAAAAAAAAAAAAGAAAAGCCGAAAAACAGATGAACAGAAAAAGGAAAATAATTAGAAAATCAGAACAAAAAAACCCCTAAAAATCATGAGGAATGTAGGAATAGCAGAAATGGAAAAAAGGAAAAAAGTGTAAAATCTTCTTTGATTACGTTTCTTGTAGATAGCGGGTGGTAAATTATCAACCCAATTGTATGGTTCGACTTTAGTTGCAAAAGCCGTTTTTAGTTGTCTGTGAAAACGCTCTACGACGCCATTAGCACATGGATGATATGCAGTAGTTTTGATGTGTTTAACACCCAACAAGTTCCCAAATTCTCGAAACAACACACATTGAAACTGTGCCTTTCTGTCAGTTGTAATGAGTAAAGGTACACCTTATGTTGTGATCCATTGCTGCAGGATGGTCCTGGCAATAATTTCTTCTGAAATTTCCGCGGTAAGTCACCTACTAAAACAGTCCACTATTGTAAACAAATAGCTGAATCCATTAGTATTGGGAAGGGGCCCAACAATTTAGTAAATTTAGTAATTTAGTTAGTAAATCTTCCATTGGGTTTGTTGAAATGTCCTAGTAGTGAATTCGTATGATTATATATTTTGCGTTTTTTGACACATTGCAGCTTTGTGTCCATTGCTGAATATCCCTGTACATGTTCGGCCAAACGAAACAATCACTGATGAGTTTGTTGCGGATTTAAATCAACCCACAACAAAGAACAACTTTTTGTTGTTATCATTGCTTTTCTCTAACACTCCTTATTACTGGTTCCCATATTGTATTTATTTCTATGCTTGGCCGGCTCAAGAGATTTTTGTGGCCTAGCATAAGTTTACGAATTTTCCAATGGTTTTCCTTGTCTATGATCTCACATGGCACAGTGGATAAAGGCGTTGGTTAGATCCAGTGACAGGACCCAAAGAGTGTGAGTTCAATACCCGGTTAAGGCAGTGGAGAACTTTCAGAGGGGAATTAACAGGAGATAACTGACATCCATCGAACATGGCACGTGGAACTAGAACAGTCTACCCCAGTGAGCGAAATAAAGGTTTCAGTTCGACATTCCAACCACCTGAAGAAGGCCGGAGCGTACAACGGCCGAAATGTTGTGATAAATATGGCGACAAAGATGAGGACAATATTTTTATTTTCGTGTTTTTTTACAACTAATTGATCATGTGTGAGCGTTAAAGTTTCTTGTTTGTAGTAGTTTGTTAAGATGAAAAGAAATCTGATTTCATGTATGTGTAAGAAAAAAGAAGCAAGGGAGAAAGTGAGGAGGAAAGTGTAAGTGTCTCGTAGCTTGTTGAGGAAGTGTGTAAGTATCACGTATCTTGACGAGGAAGACGGGTGAATGAGAAAGGGAATTTATTTTAAGCCGTAGTTTTGTGAATCTGCTGAATATGCTGCTGCTATTTCTCCTTAGTGCTTGTCTGGACTAGTAATTTGGCTTATATACTCTACAAAGGGATCACGAAGCTTATTTTTTTTTATTGTCGGTTGTAACGCGACCCATTGTTTGAAAAATGTTAAATATTTATTTTCAAAGGATTAATTTATTAACCGGAAGCAAGCACGAATCTTCCTACTCAGAAACCATTTTTTGTCATTTGGTGTTTGAGTTTGATTGTCTTCCGACTTCGCTCCACACAGTAGTGTCCTTAAAATTTGATTTAAATCTAATAATTACCTGATTTTTGTTAACTTTTTTCGCTTTTAGTTCTGAAAGAACAACAACAAAAAAAAAAAAAAAAAACAATCCATTTTGGTGTTATCGAATTTACCGCCTTCTCTCTTGGAGCAGTATTGTCTGTTCAAATGCTGTTCCTTAATATTAGTGGCAGTAAAATAGATTTGGATGAAATATTTTGATGGATTTGACCACGTTTACAGTGTTTCACTATGGTTTTATTTTATTCACCTTATTTCATATATAAAGTGAAGTTGAGTGTTAGTTTCAGTCTCTACAAGTTTTTCACTTCTCGCTTCTTTGTACGTTGTATCGTACATCCTGCCTAGGGAAATATTTTTGTACAGTAAATCTCATCATGGAAGGAATACATAAACGGTTTTATTGTGAAAGTAAATGCAAAATGTTGGAAGCATTTACATTTTGAATACAAAGAAAACACATTAGCAGTAAAACTCATTTTTAACACTTATGTCCTAAAACCAGATAACTTTTTTCAAAAGTTATCGCCCTTAGACCGATTCAAAGAATCAGGTGATTCGAATCGACAAGACGTAAAGAAAAATGTATTTAAAAAAATTCCAGCTTCGGCAAGAAAGAAATTCCATTTTATTTTGAAGTAACTGATTCGAATTACAATTGCATGAAAAAAAACTATTTTCAGTTTGACGAAAAGATTCCGGACAGTAGCGGTTTTTCTGAAAGAAATATAAACTGATCATTTGAGAAAGTGATTTTTTTGTGTATTCTGATTCTTCTTACTTAAATTTTATTTGTATATCATTTGTCCTGTGGAATTGCATAGCTACGGAGAGGCGGAAGGGGCGGTCCGCTCCATGTGGCACTTTTGGACCGCGATGAGTTTTCAGAAAAAAAAAAAAACAATAGCATAATTTCAATAATTTTGAACCCCCAAAAAAAAAAACAACAAAAGAAAAAAAAACAACAAAAACAGACAAAAAACAAACACCCCCCCAAAAAAAACAAACAAGAAAAAAAAAAAAAAAAAAAAAAAAAAAACAAAACAAGCAAAAGAGCGATAAAGAAGAAGATAGGGTCCAAATGAAATCAATTTGTCTTTGATATGGCTGGCTCAAAGCCAACCAGCCAGCCACCAATAAAAAAAAAAAATTTTCTCCAAAACGCGCTGTAGGCAGAAAAAAATTTGAACATTTTTAAAGAGCTTGATGTGGTGTTGGATTAAGTGAATTTAGTGAATCCACAGTTTTTTCGCACCTGTGTGAGAAGTCCAGACTTTGGCGTCAGTTCTTTGATTTTGACTTGTGTGTGAACTGTTAGTGAAAAAAATAAAAAATAAAATAAATAGGTGAACCAATCTTATAGTACTAGCTTTAATACCGATATAAAATCGTTACTTTTCATAAATTATAAAATAGATAAATAAATTGAAATAATACCAATGCTTTTAAGGATATCACATGCATTCCAATTTTTTCCGGAAATATCAAACGGAAATTTAAAAGAAAATTGAAAATGAATATATGTTTTTAAGTGCAGAAACTTTATTTAAAGTCCAAAAATGGGTATTTTTTTTCAATTTACGCTTTTCACGGTGCAATTTTATGTTTTCACGGCAGTAAAACAGTGCAATGTTTTAGTTTTTTGTTTTTATTAAGCAAAATAGACTAAGAATTAATTAAAAGTATGATAACATTTATTTCAGTTTTTAAAAGTGAAATTAATTTTATCGAACTTTTAATTCTTAGTCTACTACTTTGCTAATAATAACTTAATAATAATAACAACAAAATAATTTTAAAAGACATTGTATTTTTTCACATTGTTAAAAGAAAAACAAACTGTGTTTCTGTTTACGTGGTATTTAATCTTCACTTAATCTTCAGACACAAGGGGTTGTAGATTTTAATCTTCAGAATTGGAATAAATATTAAAAAGAATGATAAATTATGAAAAGTACAACGTGTGTTTTCCTATATGAATAAAAGCAAAATTGGAGCTCAATTCTTCCAAGAATTCTGGAGTTAAAAGACCTCCAACTCTATACTAGTAATTTGGTATTTGTACGACTCCCCACGGAATCGCGTTGTGACACAAAGTCACTTTAATGTGGGGAGCTCGAGCGCCTACAACCGGGCTAGGAACAAAAATTTTCCGCAGCCCCACTCAACCGTCTGTTGCGATGGCCTCGGTGTGAACACCGATCGCTCTCTCTGGTGCAATGAGAGGGCACGGCCGCGGTCAGCTGTTTCCCAAGGGTGGGCAGCTCGCAGTATAATTTTCCGCAGTTGCAACTCTGTCTTTTGACAGAGCCGCCCCTGAGTGCACTCTGCCCAAAGACAGAGACGCAACTGAGAGATGATAAATAGATGAGTTACAAACTACTCGAGAGAGCAGTTTGTATTTACTTGACAGCTCCATTGTGTCAGGTTGTGACACAAGATCAGTCTTTAACGTGAGGACCCAAGTGTCTTCACTCGGGCCGCTGGTCTTAGCTTGTCCAAGATGGTCAGAGCTGGTCTAAGCTAGTCATAGACAGCTCTACTACCAGCGCAGAGACCGATCCATGTAATCGGTAAGTATCAGAATGTGTATATTACTCGAAAGAGTAGAGATGGGGGCCGCTGGTTAAACGTTGACTATATATTTCTGAGATGAGGTATTATGTACGCTATTCAGACGCACTATTGTCCTCATCTTTGTCGCTATATTTATTATAATGTTTCGGCCGTTGTACGCTTCAAGTGTTTGGAATGTCTTCCAGGACACATAGCACAGTGGATAAAGGCGTTAGTTAGATCCAGTGACAGGACCCAAAGAGTGTGAGTTCAATACCTGGTTATGTCGGTGGAAAACTTGGAGAGGGGAATTAACAGGAGATAACTAACTGATATCCATTAGATATGGCGCGTGGAACTAAAACAATCTACCCCAGTGAGCGAAATAAAGGGTTCAGTTCGATATTCCGACCACCTGAAGAAGGCCGGAGCGTACAACGGCCGAAACTTTGTAATAAATATGGCGACAAAGATGAAAAAACAATAGTCTGAATAATGTAAATAGTGTGCGTGTATATATATATATATATATATATATATATATATATATATATATATATATAAAAGTTTAATGGGTTAATGTGCATTGTAATATTGTATTTCTTCTGGGGAGGGGCGGAAAGAACACTAGCTACGCCACTAGTCCTGTGGTCAAAGTTTTTTTCGAAGAGA